TCGAGTTCGAGGTGATAGAAGAGAGCAGGAAACGCATTGAGCCTACAAAAACTAAAAGGGGGGAGATAAGGGTAATGGATGCTTGATAGCAAAGAAGGGGCAAACCACTCCACAGCACCCGCCAACCACCCACTCGTCGTACTTCGTTATATCTAAGATACTACATCCCGTAGGCTGTACTATCTTTGGTTATATTAAGCAATTTTGACTTCAAGTGATAAAGGAAAGTACAAAAAGAGTTAGAAAAAGAGTTGTATTTTTAAAAAGAAACAGTTAATTAATAAATCACCGTTTCGTGTTCAGTTGTTTGTGTAAATGAATTTCTTAGTTTAAGTAAGAGTCTAACGGCACTTGCAACCCAATAAGGTCACTTAAGTGCCAAAGATTAGAGGTGTTACAAGAGAGAAACAAACACAATGAAATAAAAAGGAGGAAGATCAAGACGATAGATGTTGGATAGGAAAGTACATTTACAGATACATTTCTGCTAATCAAGGTACATGCACTTTGTATTTCACGCTCATAACTGTGCTTGATCTACAACAGGGAACTGCTGCTTTTTCTTTCTTAATTCTTACTATTGTCATTTTCCTCTACTTCTTTTGTATGTTTGTCACACTCTTGTGACCCGCTATTTCAGGGGTGCCGTGATAGTCGAAGCAGACATTGTGCTGTTGAAGCTAGAGAGGTGAGCAGAGTAAGTCTGATTCCCCGTAAAAACTTCTCTGTTGACACCCACCCCTTGGCGCTCAAATGACCTTATGCAGTTGCAAACGCCGTAAAACTCTCTACTCTATAAAAAATAATTTATACTACTACTACTACTACCACTACTACTACTACTACTACTACTACTACTAGACTGCAATCACGATTATTCCTACAACAAGAAAACTGTAATACTCTTTTTGAGCAGTCACGCATTGTGTGCTCAAATAGCAGACGCAGAGATTGTTCTGAAGTGCCCAAGTACCTTACAACCTCCTTGGAAGTACCGTAATACGGGGTGCCCACTACGGCTAGATCGGACTGATCGCCCGACTCGATCGCCTGAAACTGAAAACAAACACGTATGTTTTTGAGGCGATCGAGTCGGGCGATCGGCCGATCCCGTCCGTAGTGGGCACCCCGTATAAACTGCGGCCGGGGTGACTAAGGCAGATAACTGGGAAAATGTTATGATGATTAAGGATCCCCCCTCTTTTCCCTCATATTTTTAAAAAATCGGACACATTTTCTCCCAAAAGGGTCTACTAGATCGATGCTATTCAACAATCCCATTAACTTGAACCCCCCAAAATATTACCTTATAGTAGTTAACTCATGCATGACTTTTCAAATGAAGAATCCCAGAAGCTTCAAAAGGTGCCTTGGTCACCCCGGCTTACCGTACATCAGTAACATACATGGGCCGTTCCAGGCCCTCCCTGCTTCACTTTGAGAAACGAAACAAATTGAAATGTCCTCACCAAGGGGTCTCTCGACACTCTCGTGGTCTAGATCTAGAGGTTAACCCTATTATTATCCGTACGTCGTGTTTTACTTACGTGCCACCACTTTTCAAAGAAGAAATTTACTCATTAATCAGATCCATACGTTTAGTTTCGTTTAGTTTTTTAAAGAGTTTTACGGTTCTTGCAACACAATAAGGTTATATAAGTACCGAAGATTAGAGGTGTTACAAGAGAGTAACAAACACAAAAAATAAGGACGGGAGATAAAGACGATAGACGTTTGACAGGAAAGAAGAAGCAAACCACACCAGAGCACCCGCCAACCACGTACTCCGTACGTTTGCATAGCAGTCTGTCAAAAGGATTTTTGGGAGAAATACTGAAAGTTTCAAAGAGATCTTCGTACTAGAAGTATTCTAAAACGTGAAGAATACAACCCCAGGGGTACAAAATGACCCCAGGGCGTACGGGTAGGGTTAAGGTGTTCACCTTTCATTCAATAGGTCCCGAGTTCGAATCCGGATAGCGACGGACAATGTTCTTCTCTAAAATTTTCTTCTTTCACCTACTTTCCTGCTCTAGAACAATGTTCTGTCGTCTGTTTTCGTCTTAACTTTCTGCCCCCACCCCATCACCTCCTATGCCCTCTCCTCTGGGCTCCTGTCTCTCATCACTTTCTGTAGTCTTTCTACTGCTACTCATTGGCACCTTCATTCTGCTGCTGTTTTTCAGCCACACCCCTGATCTTTAGGTAGGAAAGATCTACACTAAGCCTTCTCGGACAAAGACGAAAAATCTCGGAGGTCCCGTGTGTAAGCTGCGCACGTTAAAGATCCCTTGGTGGTCCAAAATCGATAAAAGAGTAGGCTTCGGCCACCACCCGGGCAAAATTCTAAATTTTCTACCAACTGAAATTGTCTTAATTTGTCCTGCGCACTCATATGACCCAAACGCAGTTGCGAGCGCCGTATAAGTTACATAATGGCTAAGCTTTTTACTTCAGATGCAACAAAAGTGAGTTCCATTCCAACATGGGGAAGGTATCA